TCTATATTCTCTGATTATTCCATTTTTTTTTTTTAAATCAAATTTCTTTTAAGTAGTGATAAGTTTTTACAGTTTCGATTAGGGAAATGATAGTGCAATAAGGGTACCCCTCWAAATATCAGTTCACTATTTCCCTCATCATAACAATACTTGTAAGTTATAACTAACTAGGTACTTGACAGATATTTAATTTAAACGAGATACTCAAGGAATATGAATTTAAAATATGGTCCCATTAAAAAAAATTATAACAATAAAGTAATAGATATTTAAAAAAWTATTTTTTTATTTTAAAATATTTTAAAATTTTATCAAATTATGTAAGATTATTTTTTTTAAGTTTTAACTTTTTGAAATAATAAGTGTTTATTTAAAATAGTATGTGCGATTACAAATGTGTCARAATGGTCAATTTTCAGTCTTTTGGTTTTTTTGCTGAAACTAAATCTCTGTTAAATTTTAGTGCTAACAAATTCTAAAGCGTATAAATTAATTAATATCATTTAATTTCCAAAAGTTGAGTGGTCCCTAGTAGGATATGCTTTGTGAAACTCAAAAGAAATGACTGGTTTAACTTTTTTTGATAATATGCATAGGTAACCTCTACAAGCCTGAAAGTAAGTTTTTCTAAACATTTCTTCATTAAATAACCACAAATATAAGTTAATGCATTCTGTTCTGGAATGTCATGTTGTCTATAAATTATAAACAACTGTATCAATACTAATATATTAAATTTTAAAAATATTTTTATCTGATCCTTCAAAATWAGAATATTTTCAGATTGTGGTAGATCTGAACCTAAAATTTCATTTAAATCTTCAATGCAATTTGCACCTGGGGAATGTTTGAAATAATTAGCACAAAAAATTTTGCTAATGACCTAGAAAACTCAATTAATGTAGGATTTAATTTGTTTCCATGCTGTTGGCGGAAATAACAAAATAAATTTTCCAACTATCTAGATTTTGATTTTGTGTTTTTTACGCTTACTCATAACGCTATAATTAAAGTATAGGGATCAAGTATTTGGGTCTAACAATTGTTACAAGTAGATAGTCGCTCCCTTCGCCTGCCGGCTCCGGTCGCCAAACTCGAGGTCCTACTACGGGCCTCTCGTTGGATGGGGGCYCGGCCCCCAAACCCCCCGGGGCCAAAATAGCAAACCTGGGGGGAGGGGGGAAGAGCACCCTCAAGAGGTGAGTGACCTAACAAGTAATTTGAAACTGATTTAACACAAATGACTCATGTCTTTAAACTCAAGGGACCCCCGGCTCCGGTCGCCGGACTCGATGGCCAGATAAAGTAAAATAAGTATGAGTGGCTCCCTTCGCCTACCGGCTCCGGTCGCCAAACTCGAGGTCCTCCGGAAATCTCGATGATGGGGGCTCGGCCCCCAAACCCCCCGGGACTTTAGTAACATAAACATAAGTATATTTTAGTAAATCCCTTCCCCTACCGACTACAACATCGTTTTTCACTCATTAATATACGTAAGTTTCAAGAAAAAAAAAAACAAAAAAATCGTAAAAGACGTGATAAACGCAACATTGCGCTCATGCGTAAAAAACATAAAATTGCTAACTTCCAAAGCCCATAACTTCGAAACTAAGTCCGAACGACAAATTCTGATTGCACCATCGTTCTTAAATAGTTAATATAAGTATGTTCCAAAAAAAAAAAATCGAAAATTTTGAGGGGGGTGGTAAAGCGCATTTAAGCCCTATCTTCTGTCCATAAGTGTAATATATCTAATATCTCTGTACCAGATTTCGCCATGATCAGCTCAGCCGTAGGTATAGYAATGCATAAAGGACAGACAGACTAACATTATACTAATTCATACTATTATTATATTATTTTTTTCACAATATTATAGTATTTTGGAATTGTTCAACTTAACCTAAAATCTCTTTCTTGTTTATATAAGAACACTTAAATTCAACAGTAGATAGTGGCCCACAAAAGACTGAATGAGATAAACCATTAAYCATCGATTGACAATAACATCGGTTACAGGTAACATGGTCTATATCTAAAACGTAAATCATTATAATCTTCATTAACGGTTCATTAATATTAACTAGCTAATAATGTATATTTAAATTATTRTCATTGCTTACAGTCTTACAGTCTGTAAAATAGTTATTATTATTGTATATAATTTTTTTGTAATATACTTATTTTGTCAGTAAGGCTAAAAATACTTTTCAAAATAAATATAAAATTGAGTACCTAACAAACTAATAACTATTTAAACTATTATATTACATATCTAATTTATGGCTGAGGTTTACTTACTAAAAATTTTCAACTGATTTGGACAATTTAAGAAGTGTTTAGGTAGTCAATTCATATAACTTGATACACGGGGGTTGCTTACCAAGATCTAACATTTCTTTTGGCAACCCTGGGTAATAAAATACAAATACAGCTAGTAATAATAATGTAGTATGTTGTAAATTGTTTTAGATATTTCGCCGAAAATCAATATGATGCTCGGCGTATTGTATAGGCAAAACAGGTACATATTAACTGCTATGTTCAATATTCTTAGTAGGTACTAGGTATCTACTGAATGYCCGAACTATAAAATTAAAGGTTTCACMAGAACAGTCAATATTTATTATTTAGTGTTTACACGTAAGTTTGTTTTCGTCTTAAATTGAGGCTTAAATTACCTAACCTCGAACCACGCCTATGGAACTAAATATACTATCAGCAGACCCAATCTTATAATGTTACTTTTAATATTAGAATAAATTATATAATTAAATTGAGTACATTATCTATGTCGTTACGTTATTTATATTATGAAATTTTAACCATTATGTTCGTTTCGTCCGTGTGGAATATTGGTGCACATTTAATAATTCTAAAAATGTTATAAAGAGGTCATAAAAATATTTGACGAAGGTTTAAACATGCTTTATAATTTCAAAATAAGTAATAAGTATTTGGACATTTGGTCCGATATAGGTTTCTCAGCAATGCTTTTTAGTAGTAATAGTAAAAACTAAAAACGAATAAATAAATAAACACATTTTAAAACTACTGTCTCACGTAATACGAGTATAATCTAATTCATTTATTTATTTTTAGATTCTGAGCGGAGCGATGAATGCATTGAATTTACAATGATTGAACGATGAATGTTTTTTATTTTAAAAAGCAGTARCTACTTAATCACATTTATTTAAATCAACATCCTTATTTAATAGTTCATAAAAAATGTATTTTAATAAAAATATGCA